GCTGGATCTTGATACTTTACACTGAGGAGATTTACGTATTCAAATGTTTTCATCACTTTTTTCAATACTGACTGTACTACAGAATGGCTGCACTGGAAGCAATGCTCACACTATTGACTCATGAGAAGTCTGGCACTCTTTACTCTGTATCACAGTCCCAAAGACCAGCTTTCTTGTTTAACACCTCATCCATGCACAGAAGCCACTTGGAAAAAAAACGTGATTACAGCATTTGTTCCCACCACAGAATGGCCTAATGCTTTATTTGTGGAAAAACTCCAGCAACTTCCTGGTCCTGTGAATCTTAAAGGATAAAAAAGGAGTACTTCTTATGTAAAAGGTATGAAGCTGAGGACAGCACTGAGAAAGGAACCTCCATGAGCAAGAACTCAGACACATAGCTTTACAAAGCCCAGCAACATTTATTAAATTTAGAAGCCTTCTTTCTAAATACACTATATCCTTTAAAAACTTGATCTAAGGGGGATCACGAGAGATAGAGCACAGTGAGAGCAGAGAGACTGCTGCCTGGTACAATTCAGAAGCAATAGTGAACACACTGAAGAGTAGTCTGTTCTTCAAGCAATTTTCATTTGCTTCTTTATCAGTCATTTTTAGATAGTGTACAGTTTGAAAATGAGAGCAGTGCTAATCTGACAAGATATATGCATTTGCTAGAACTGATCAACCAACTTGTGGCATTTGCCGATTTGGTGTCCCAGCTCTCTACTGCCTGATTTTTTTTCCTTTTCTGGAAATGATGATCATAGAATCATAGAATCACAAGGTTGGAAAGGACCTATACATAAGCTAGACAGTACCTCATATTTTGGCCCGCACAACAGCAGTGAGGAATAAGCTTCGTAAACAAGACAGGGTAATAATTCACTTGCTTGAAGGCAAGACATATGAGTACTCTAAAACAACAGATTGAAATCCCAGAACTAAAATCCAGTTGGAGCTCAGGTGATTTGGAATGAACCCAAAGAAACAGAAGGTATAAACTAAACAGGACGGAAAATGCATCCAAAGCAACAGGTTGCTGCTTGCAATTATTCGTGAAACAACAAAACCCACCTGCAGCCATCTCCAATCAACCTGGGATCAATTAAGACAGTAACCCAGCTTTCATGATTCAAGGATCTTTTCAGATAAGTCATAAAAGTTGCAGGAGAAAAAGAAAAAAAAAATCACTGATGTGGTTGCTGATATACTACAAATCTAAATCTGATGGTCTAAAGAACTGTGAGCTCACTTATCTCAAGATAAGCCACCACTATTCAGTTTATATGATCTTGTTGAACACAGTATATTCAGGCGTAAACCAAGGGGTTTTTTTTTTGCACTGACAGCACTGATGTTTTTGAAGAGAAACACAAAACGACATCAAAATGTAATAACCCCTCGTACTCTAATCAGAAAAAAAAAAAAAAAGTCCTCAACATTATCAGAGATAATTCATAGATACTAAAACCATTTTGATCAAATGGAAATGAAACACCCCAAAAAAGTAATAGTTCTGATCCAGGTCCTCTGTATGAACTGGAGATAAGGGTCCAACAGACTGCTATGAATAACAGTCCTCCCAGCTACAAAATGCAAATCATGATGCACTGCAAAGACAGTGTTAAGTCTCCATCAAACTCAAACTTGAACAGCTGTATTCATACTTGCACAGATTAAGTTTAAGACATCAGATCAGCTTTATTTTGGGCACTAGCTGTGCCAACGTGAAACCCTCTATGCATAGCCTTAGCTGCCACAGCTTCTGTAGCCCCTCTGGCCAGAACAGTATCAGCACTTTGATGAAGGATGCTGATACATATGGAAGGCCTGATGAGTTTCCAAACAACCACATTTTTTGGAATGAGAAATTAATTTCAGTAGCCAACAAACTCTTGAGCTTTCAATCCCTTGAAACGACCTTCTTAGTAGGAGAGAAGCATCGACAGCTGTTCATCAGAGCAACATACCATGATGCACACTCTCGTTCACTCCTCTACCAAAGAGAGTGAGTGCTTTGAGGATCTAGCACAACAAGATGTAAAAAAAAAAAAAAACTAAAAAAAAAAAAAACACAGGACCACATGGCAGTTTCAATAAGAACAAAATACTTGGCAAGCATATGAACAGAACTCTGCGTGGCAAACTCTGAAGATCTCAAGCCCTTGCACACAGAGATGCACCTTGAGACCTACCATGAAGATGCCTTCTGAAAAATCTCATCTGTCTCCGTAACAACAGCTACATAACAAATGCACACATTGGCAGAAAAACTCGAATTCTACAGCAGAAACCATCCACTCAGGAGGTCTCCTGGGTATAAACGTAGACACATTCTTAAAGAGAAGCATTTCTTATGCTTACAGCATACAAAGGAATCTGTAGTCCTCTACTCACAGAAAAGCCTAGAAATAGTACCTTCTCTTCTGCATAGGATAATGAGTTCTTAGCTGTAAATCATATTAACAGTTATGATAATCCAATTAACTCTTGTCACACAAATATAGTTGAGAATGATTCCTTGACCTCCACAGAAATCTGCTCAGCCGCTGCTAACCACTTTTAGAAACAACAGAAAGGTTACTTATAAGTAGTTGAACTTACAAACCTCTGTACATAAGAAGGAAGAACATCTTTTGGCACTGAAAATATGAAGCATGGGTATGTTTTTTTGGGATAGGGGGAAAATTCTAGTCCAGAAAGTGCTAAGATCCTGGGAAGTTGGGGATGACTCTTAAAACTAAAAGATGGGGATGAATGCTGGGGAATGCTCTGGGACCACAGCTTGTAACACCTGAGGCTGCAAGCAACTATATAGGTGCTGACATGACTTTCTACATGATCCTCCCAGATCATCATTGACTTCAATACTCTGCACACTTTTTTCACCAGGTGGATGTGGAATCTTCACATCTCAGAGTCCTGAAACACTTACATAAAATTCAAGTTGGCTGTCTTTATCATGAGGCCAATTGAGCATCCTCTCAGTTCAGAAAAATGCATTTTTCACTATGACAAAGCAGGGAGAACTGAAAAAGCATTGCAGTACATACATTGATCTGGTTTTAACAACACAGAAGGGAATTTTTCACTTTGTGACAGCCATCTAGTACACAGAGCAACAGAAGCAAAACAAAACTTCATATCTGAAGACAGCGAAAGAATTTCAGAAGAAAACAAGGAGCAACTGTAAGAAGCCGTGACCAAAGGTCATATACTGTTTATTAAAATAGCTGAAAGGTCAAGTTCTGAATCATTCATTCAAACTAAGAATCTGTCAGGTTTTAAGGAAGCTCTCACTGATCTGGAGTTAGGAGAAAATCTAACAGATTCAGAAGGTACACACAAAACAAATATCAGTTCTTAGGCCAAGCAACTATATCAAGAGATTCTGAAAGATGGATGGAACCATTCACCCCCTACTAACCATTCACTGAGCTCAAGAAAAACAAGATTGCTGATACCACTGGAAGATCAACTATTGTACCAGCACTGGAGAAGACAAGTCACAGTCTGGACTGAGGGACTATGAACTGTTATTGGCCGTGAAAGACCAAGCAAATGAGTAATGAGTACTGACAGTCATAAGATCAGTACAGTATCACAGGAGATTTGAAACACTCCCTTCCCAAATATCTCAGCCTGTCTGATTTAGAAGATCAATATCTGAAAATTTAAGATTTGTACTGAGTCCCAATCCTACTTGACAAAAAAAATTGACAAATAAAAAAAATTCACAAGTGAGCTAAGGAACTGTGTTAAATATACAGATCCTGCCTCACTGTGCAAAAGAACTGAAGAAATGGCCTCAGCTGAATCCTACCCACGTATAGTAAGAGCTAATACATTAAATCCTTACCAATCTTTCCAATGATTAGCAGGATAAAAATCTCAGAGCAGTGCGATTTTTTGATGCATATAAAAAGGAAACATGCAGAAAGTATCTCTAGATACTGTCAGATATATGAAAGATAGTTACATGTCTATTTATGGACAAGGAAGGATTAAAAAAAGAAAAAAAAGAAAAAGAAAAAAGGAAATAAGACATTCCCAGGAAAAAGCATTAGCATTTCTTAAATTTGCAATAAATTAATTGTCTTCACCACTAAAAATATATAAAATATTCTCTTTTATTTTGTATCCTAATTACTTCTTCCAAGAGCATTATTTCAAGTCAAATTAGCACTTCTTTTCCAACTAGATCAGCACTCTCTTGCTGCCTGATCAGCAATGGTGATACTCCACGTGAACAAAAAAATTACCTTTCAGACTGAAAGTAGTTGCAAACAGTTAATATACATGACTTTTTGTTGAACTGTCTCATCTGAGCTCTAACCTGTACATCTCCCTTCAATGAAGATGACAACACACTTATAGATCCTTTAATCTCCTGCAAGAATCAATGAGGCTCACCATCCTTCAGTATGTGTGTGAAGACGTTCTAATTTCTGCATTGCTCTCGCTATAAATGACAGGTTTTCAATTTACTGCTACCCATTCAAAAATCTGATAAAATCTGTCAAATTCCAGTAGTCATCTCATGAGCTCTTGTTGTCTCAGGCAAGTCAGCACTATGCATGACTAAGAACGTACAGGATTTAGAAGTTTATTACAGAAAACAGTGACATCAACTTACGACACACAGTACCACCTTCCGTAAGTTTGTGCAAAATTAAAAAATAAATTCTCTAAAAATACTGCCAGATTCATTTGATTTTTTTCTTAACCACAATGAAGTAAAATGAAGTAAAACAAAATTCTGTATTGCACTCATTATAGTAATAAACCAATCCATAATATTAAACAACAGAAGGTGATGACAACAGTCAGCACATCAGTGGAAACGCTGGAACAAGACAAGATTCTGGCTCAGATCCTTCCTAAGAGATATTTAACATACATATTGACAATTTACGTGTAGTATTCCTACATCAGTACCAACTAAAATTAAAAAACAATGCCTCATTAAAGAGAGCTCCAAACAAATTAAATCTCACCTGAGTTACTCCACTGGGAGGAACCTTGTACGACTGCAGCTTCTGCTTCAGTAGCTCAGGATCACTGTGGCGGAATGGGCATCCTGACAGCAAAACAAGCAAGCTCACAAACAAGGCTGTTTACCCAGAAGGGAGCATAGTAACACACTCAAGAGACCTAATTGTCTAACAGCTTACTAATATACAAGTTAATTGTCCATATGTGCAATTATTTTTTTCTTTAACATTTTTTTTATAATAATTACTCCACTGCATTGTCAGCAGTACACCAGAGGCCCAAGAGTTACATGAAATATCCTAATACAAACAGGCCACAGTTGTCACTCACTGACAGGAAAGGAGACTTAGTTAGTACCTTACTTACAGTGATAGCACTGGTACATTTAATATCCGTGAAAAACCAGGAAGAAATAAGTAGTAAGAGCTAACTAGTCTTTAAAGCATAGCCCTTTGTAAAACTATTACTTTTGAAAGCTCCAGCCTTTGAATAAGGGTTGCTTTTCTTGTGTCCCAGAATTAATCTTGTGAGAAAACTAAAGGAAACAACCTTCAGAACCATCTCAGAGGTTTTGTAGAAAAGGGTAAATATGGCACTGAGAAAAATAGTTTAGCAGGCATGGTGGTGATGGGTTGATTGTTGGACTAAATGGCGTTAGTATTCTATCCAACCTTAACAATTCATGACTGTGTTAACTAGCACTAGAGTTACAACAGTAAGGCTGGTGCACATTTCTCTCACTAAATCACACAGGAGTAGGAGGTTTTAAACTACTGCAGCAAATGTAGGAACTCATGTTTGATTTAATTCATATCTCAGAGCCCCTATAAGTGTTCACACTCTGTATGTGTACACAATAACTACAGAGCTAGAAGCCACCAAGCGTGATCTAAAAAGAATATTGCAAGACCACTGTAAGCTTGAAATTAAAAACGTAACTTAAGAGACTACAGGGGTGAGTAACGTGACAGACACTGTAGAAAAAAATCCTTCAGATAACTTCTCAGTATAAAACTAATACTTGTGAAAATATGATCTTAATCTGAAGTGAGAATTTTAAGAAGACCAAAACATAATTTTTGTTTGAGTAAGGAAATTAGTTTCATAAAACTGGCTATGCAAATAAGTTCAGTGTAAAAGATAATGCTCAAACACTATGCATACCACATAGTCACTATTTTCAGCTCTGTTCAGCATTACACATCATTGCAAAACAAATTGCTGAAATATTTATTTCTTTCTTAATATTGAAAAAGCATTGTAAACTCAGATCTTGTTAAGTTTCTCTTTGCAGTATCTATCTTGTCTGGGTTACATACATGTAAGCCATGACTTCCACAGTGATAACTTAAACACTGCAGTCCCCAGTAGATACACACATCAATACTTGGTCATTTATAAATTTACATTTTACTACAATTAGAAATAAAGAATACAGAAGAGTCCTGAACGTCCTAAACTTCTGAAAAGCAAGTGAGTTAATATTAGTAGAGTAAGTTTGCCATGCTGAAAGCACAGATTGAAAGGATTGCACCTTTTTTTTTTTTTTTTCCTACACACAATGTGGGAAGAAGGGGAGGGAAGGAAAAAGAACCAAAGTTGAGTACAAAATTGAACTTTACTTGCTGAATGATACCAGTTAAGAAAGATTAATCACAAGAAGAGTAGCAGAGAACAGCAGTGGCTACCTTAATTAGGAGTCAAACTAACTAACTTCCACTTAAAATCAAATGCAATCTCCATGGTTCTCTTCTTTAGCCAAAGGCTTCCAATATTTTTGAACCTGTTGGTTTTAGGAACTCACCATGATAATCCCCTTGACTTGGTGGATTGGACATGATAATCTTCATGCAGCTGTACGGGGTATAGTCTGTTCTCTTTCCTTCTTTCCCATAGTTGTGGCGAATGCTGTACGCGTATCCTTTGTCAAACTGAAACAACAAAAGAATATATTTTCATATACCATATCAAGTCATTATTCTGTCTACTCTGCCAACAGAAACATTGGATTAGAAAGCAAATCTTCCAGACCTACTCAAATTTAGAGAAATGGAATTGTTTTCTGTTAGTTTTGATTTTTATATTATAAGGAGTTTTAAGTATCTGTATGCACGTTTTATACACACATAAGAAGAGAACTAAAAATTAATACCTTTTAAGCAGATGAAGGAATCAATAAAGTTAAGATGATTTAAAGATCAAAACTGTGAACTATATGATGTTAGTAAATGGAGAAGACGTTGTAATACTAAACCTTTCATAAGTGTCCACAAATCAATGGCTTTATCAGCGAAAAGCCAAAATCACAGACTTCTTGACTGAGGTTCACATTTTTGTTCTCCTACACTTTGCTTCAGCACTGAAATTCACTGTTTTTGGTATAAAATTAAGTATTTTTGCTTGAAAACTGTACAATTTTAGCAAATCTCTTTTGTCTCACAATAAAATGTCAGCTCCCACCAACTCCACCAATAAAATTAAGAAACTAAAATAGGCATAAACAAGTTACGTCCTGTAAATAAGGACTTAGCTAAAATGATTTCAAGTTATTTTAGATGTAGCCATTCAAGCACACAACTGGTCACGTCCAGCAGTTCAAAATTACCCCTATTTCTACACATAAAATTAATTGCCTGCTAAATAATTCAGAATATTCAGACGACTGTGAAATATCTTAACCTGCTAAAATTCATTCAAAATATAACAGAAGTATGCTTTTCACAATCTAACATTTGAAAAATTTAATTACATATATAACTCAAAACCTACAACATAATAAGCAAATACATAAAATGTTTAAATAAACTTTTGAAAATAAACATTGAAACATACACTACATCTGTCTAGATGGATAAAAAAGGAACTTCTTTATTAAGATGCTGTCATAATCAAGTTAATTGTGTTTCCCAGCACAGCCAAGACAGGATGTAGCATACAGGGATAACCTATCTAGTAAATCCTATTAAGCAGGGGGAAAAAAAAAATAGCACATTTGTTTGCTTGCAAAGGAGAGCTGGGTTTATCAACAGCATTAACTAAGGACAAGGAGGAAGACCGTACAAGGATCTTCCTTCAGGAAGGGCAGGTAAAAGAGGTATCATCCTGCAGTGACGCAAGCAGCAGCTGTAGGCTGAGAGTTGCTGCTGCAGGGGCTGCAAAATATAAACACAGCCTTTGCAGCTGTCAGCTGTAGAGAAGCTTAATACAGCAAAAATCAGTAGTTCTGTGCACTACAGCAACAGATAGCATTATAATAGTGAAAACGTGATATTAGTAACCTTTGTGTAAATCCATTAAGTTATGTGTGAAGCCCGTGAACATACAGCCACAAATTCTTACAACCAGAAGCTCTGGTACCTTTCTTCCTTCTTCACAAAAAATTAGATGAATGCATATTTCATTTGATTAATGAAGGATATATGTGTAAGCAAGTCGAAGTAAATAGTTCTTTATAAGGGAAAACCAAATCTTCACTGCTTTAGTTTGCAAAACAATAAATACAGCCCTCTGACAGTGCTGCATACTAGAAACCTGAGCTATGCTTTTCTTATCACTTGTCTTAATGCCCCACAGAAACTGTTACTACCCAAAATGATTTTATGCTGAGATGCGAATTTTGTAGTAACAGCTGCAGGGTAACACAACGTAGCCTTGGGACAAGTTGGGTATCTTCACACTGCTTTCTTTACAGACCTCTTTGGATCTTCTGAAGCCATTTCCAATCAGTTCCACTTTGTTTCACTTAAATGTTCTTTAAGCCAAACTTATTTTAATTCTTCCTTTTAGTAAGACTACAATAGAACAGTATTCTGAAAGCTAAAACACATAAATACAAACAGCTGCTGCACGTGAACCTAAAATTCTAAGATATGAGAAGACTTCATCATCTACATACTTGGGTGAGAATCTCTTAAATTGCACTGAACAGAGAAGCCTTAAAAGCTTAAAAAATTGGAACAACTTTATAAATCTGATTTTACACTAGCATGTAATTATAACTACTTTATTCTTTTATATAACAGAAATACTAGCACTAATGAATGGAGGAAGAAATTGCAGAGAGGCTTTTTTGCTTGCTCGTTTTTCAATAGTGGCCATTCTTCTGAAATCGATACAATCAGGATAAGTGGCTGGTCATGGCAATCTGTTGAAATTACCATGAGCTGCCTAAAACAAATATTGTTCTAGAATTATTTTTTAAATTCAGAAAGCACATACACAGTATCTTTGTGGCTACTTGGCAGAATTAATGCTGTCCCATATAAGCACTGCACTACCCAACCCGTATTTTCTATGTTGTATTTTGGGAATTGAGCATAAACTCCCCAGCAGTCAGTTTCAAAATGCAGACTCCACACTGCAGAGCCTTCACATGCAAACTATTCATTTCTCTCAAAGAAAAAGAATATGTCTAACAGCAAAGGTTAGCAAAATTTACATCTGTAAGAGAAAGTACTTCATAATGACTAATATTTGCACAGCTGGGCACCCGCTTCTTCAAATTTTCAACTTCTTGGAATCTTCACAGCAGCAGACGGAAGAAGTGGTACAAGTCAGTGTGTGCACATTTAGACAATTTCACCTCCTGACCTTCTGATTCTGTTTCTTATTGTTGATCACAGAAACAGACTTTTAGCCACACTGATTTCCAGCAGGCTGTGCAGTACTCCTTAATGGAAAGAAATCATGAATTGAGGAATTTCATTTCAGAAAGCACATCCTGAGGAGCAAGCCCTGTGTACTGGGGGATGAACTCAATGACCAGAAAAGCTCTTTACTAACACTGTTGCTCTAAAGTATGCACAAAGAAAAATCACCCCCAGAAGCAATTTCTGCCAGTGAATATACACATATGTATATGAGTGCAGATATAACTAGATGTGTTTGAAATCTAGACATAGGGAATTGTCCCTTCCCTTCATTCCAACTTTCCCAGTAGATGAAGTATGATCCCCCCACCTACTTAAACAAGAAATTGTATGCAGAACATATCATGCATGTCATTGTTCGCAGGGTTGTTCTAATTGCTCATAAATTACTTGCTTTTAAATTATTCCAGAAAACAACATTTCAAAACTATAAAATGCCTATTACAGTATAGACCAACTACTAGATGCCACAAGATTATTATGGCAGAAAACTATAAAAAGTGACTTTCCACCAAGACAAGCAAAAAATAATCAGGCAAAAAGCAATTCTACTAATGCAGAAAAGCTAACTATGTATATACATCCACCACAGCCTGCTTTGGCACTGATCGAAAGTTATTGCTAAAGTTGCAATATAATAGCAGTCCTAAAGGAACATCCTCATATTATTGAGCAACTACCTACACTAGATCACCTATTGCTAGTAATAGTTTAGAACAGTGATTTTTTGCAACTTTTAAAAATATGGCCTCAACTACCTAAATTTTTTTTCCTCTGACCAGCTCTCAGAGCTTTCCAATATCTGCCAGGAATTTGTAACTTATGTCCAAGTGTGGGGTTGATGACTAATGTCATGTCGCAGACTAATGTGATGCCACAGATGACACCAAATTGGCTGGAAGTGTGGATCTGCCTGGGGGTAGAGAGGCCCTACAGAGGGATCTGGACAGGCTGGAGAGCTGGGCTGAAGCCAAGGATGAGTTTCAACAAGGCCAAAAGCCGGGTCCTGCACTTCGGCCACAACAACCCCAGGCGATGCTACAGGCTTGGGGCGGTGTGGCTGGAGGACTGCGTAGAGGAAATGGGCCTGGGGGTATTGATTGATGCTCGGCTGAACATGAGCCGACAGTGTGCCCAGGTGGCCAAGAAGGCCAATGGCATCCTGGCTTGCATCAGAAACAGCGTTGCAAGCAGGAGCAGAGAGGTGATTGTTCCCCTGTATTCAGCACTCGTGAAGCCGCACCTCGAGTACTGTGTCCAGTTTTGGGCCCCTTACTGCAAGATATTGAGGCCCTGGAACGTGTTCAAAGGAGGGCAACAAAGCTGGTGAGGGGTCTGGAACACAGGCCATATGAGGAGAGGCTGAAGGAGCTGGTAATGTTCAGCCTGGAGAAGAGGAGGCTCAGGGGAGACCTCATTGCTCTCTATAACTACCTGAAGGGAGGTCGTAGTGAGCTGGGGGTCGGCCTCTTCTCTCGTGTCATTAGTGATAGGACCAGGGGGAATGGCTTCAAGCTACGGCAGGGGAGATTCAGGCTGGACATGAGGAAGTATTACTTTTCAGAAAGGGTGGTCAGGCACTGGAATGGACTGCCCAGGGAGGTGGTGGAGTCACCGACCCTGGGGGTGTTCAAGGAAAGGCTGGATGTTGTGTTGAGGGACATGGTTTAGTGGGAGCTATTGGGAATAGGTGAACGGTTGGACTGGATGTTCTTTTAGGTCTTTTTCAACCTTGGTGATTCTATGATTCTATAATGGCTTTAATGAGAGAGAAAGGGATCAAGAAATAGGACTGATTTAAGCAGTGAACCATTCAACCAAAAGCCAAGAAGCTGAGAACGCTACCCTCCATCAAGTCTGTCAATTTAGTGCTGGCATGTGCAAATCTAAGAATCTAAGCACCTACTTTTTTTTTTTTACTTTTTTTTTTTTTTTTTTTTTTAATTTTAAAAGAGTGCAAGTAAATTGCCTGATCTTTAACTTGTTCCCTGATGACAAAAAATTTTGAGGACTTTTCTTTCCTCTGGACATAGCTGTAGGATACACATGATGTCTGTACTGAGATACTCCACAGAAAAAAATGTAAGTAGGCAGTTTTGCAGGTTACTATGTTCCAGACAAGAATTTACAGAAATGATATTTTCAGAAGAGCTTGATTACATAAATATGAGATCTTTGGGTAGGTGATTTCAAAGTAGTAATGGTGTTAAATTATTATTTCTGTAACTCAATCAGAAATAAGAAAATTTGCTACAGATGTAGCTTAATTGGGATCAAAGTAA